GTCCTACTTGCTTTTCTGAAATGAGACAGCCTCGATGACGTATGCAGCCTTCGAATGCGACCTCCGGAGGACGCAGCCTTCTAAATGAGACACAGCTTATATAAGACCTTACTGCTCACAGTGCATGTCAGAGCAAATGAGAATTATGAGGTCAAAGGAACTGCCTGAAGAGCTCAGAGACAGAATTGTGGCAAGGCACAGATCTGGCCAAGGTTACAAAAAATTTCTGCTGCACTTAAGGTTCCCAAGAGCACAGTGGCCTCCATTCCTTAAATGGAAGACGTTTGGGATGACCAGAACCCTTCCTAGAGCTGGCCGTCCGGCCAAACTGAGCTATCGGGGGCGAAGAGCCTTGGTGAGAGAGGTAAAGAAGAACCCAAAGATCACTGTGGCTGAGCTCCAGAGATGCAGTTGGGAGATGGGAGAAAGTTGTAGAAAGTCAACCATCACTGCAGCCCTCCACCAGTCGGGGCTTTATGGCAGAGTGGCCCGACGGAAGCCTCTCCTCAGTGCAAGACACATGAAAGCCCGCATGGAGTTTGCTAAAAAACCCCTGAATAAGATTCTCTGGTCTGATGAGACCAAGATATAACTTTTTGGCCTTAATTCTAAGCGGTATGTGTGGAGAAAACCAGGCACTGCTCATCACCTGTCCAATACAGTCCCAACAGTGAAGCATGGTGGTGGCAGCATCATGCTGTGGGGGTGTTTTTCAGCTGCAGGGACAGGACGACTGGTTGCAATTGAGGGAAAGATGAATGCGGCCAAGTACAGGGTTATCCTGGACGAAAACTTTCTCCAGAGTGCTCAGGACCTCAGACTGGGCTGAAGGTTTACCTTCCAACAAGACAATGACCCTAAGCACACCGCTAAAATAACGAAGGAGTGGCTTCACAACAACTCTGTGACTGTTCTTGAATGGCCCAGCCAGAGCCCTGACTTAAACCCAATTGAGCATCTCTGGAGAGACCTAAAAATGGCTGTCCACCAACGTTTACCATCCAACCTGACAGAACTGGAGAGGATCTGCAAGGAGGAATGGCAGAGGATCCTCAAATCCAGGTGTGAAAAACTTGTTGCCTCTTTCCCAAAAAGACTCATGGCTGTATTCGATCAAAAGGGTGCTTCTACTAAATACTGAGCAAAGGGTCTGAATACTTAGGACCATGTGATATTTCAGTTTTTCTTTTTTAATAAATCTGCAAAAATGTCAACAATTCTGTGTTTTTCTGTCAATATGGGGTGCTGTGTGTACATTAATGAGGAAAAAAATTAACTTAAATGATTTTAGCAAATGGCTGCAATATAACAAAGAGTGAAAAATTTAAGGGGGTCTGAATACTTTCCGTACCCACTGTATATATATTACTGACCACAAACTTCTCAAAAGTAGTGTACATTATACAGTTTTGAAAAAGCTACATGTTTTGTCTTTATTATAAGGCTGTCAGTAATACATGACTATGATTTCTAATCTTTTTACAAAATATTGTTGGCTAATGACCACTAAACTGTAATCATAAAACTAAAGGCAAAGCACTCACATCCTCATTCCGCATCCCAAACAGTGTGCCATAATGACCAGGATAGCCCACAAATCTGCAATAAAAGAGCAATGAAAGCTTTGATCTGGAAAATGATTGCACAAAAGACTACTTTGTTCTGCTAGGCTAATTTAAATGTTACCTGCCCTTGAAGAAGGCTACATAGAAGGGCGACGAGTAAAAGTTGACAAATTGGAAGATGAAGACTTTGAATGTAAAGGCATCTTCATATTGTGTCTGTGTCCTGTGCATTTCTGTAGGGAAAATTGTTTCAGGAAGATCCATATTTGCGGAAACAAGATAAATGAGACTTATTTGATGGTATGTGTGAGTCTCAGAGCTTTATTGTAACTGCCTCAGAGAGTAGGACTAAGGACTAGAGTCCTAATGGCTTATTGATTCTCAAAGCAAGTGTGGATGGGCAGGTTCATTACCCTAAACCACAGAAAATGGCAGCACTGGCCTTATTTGATTTAAAGGCCTGGGCATGTGTTGCTTTATGGGGTCTGATGTGTGCTGAAAGCCTACCCCATTTAGTGAGCTGTTCTGCCAGCGCTGTGTAGACCTGCCCCATCAGCAAGATCAAAGCCAGGTTCACCAAACTGCTGGAGATATTGGCAATATTCCCAGCCTGGAAGAAAAAATGTTTGTGCAGAGTTCAAGAGCTACTGCAGGTGCAGAGGAAATTAATGAAATGGTGCAGTACAGTAAGTTATCTCATATTTTAGTTAATGCAGATCGATGGGGTGCCCACCTGAGTACGCAGAACAGAACTCCCAGTTTCAAACATCATTACACTCACTATACTGCGGTATATGATCACTGTGACCAAGAAGATCATCACTACACACAGCTGGGAAAACAAGTTGAGAAAAAGAGGAACTAATTTAGGTGACAATTATGACATATCCCTTCTAACTGGCCAATTAAATTTTTATAGCTCCATTAAACCTCTGACAACTCCAGTGGGTCTCACCATTATAACAATGACCATAGAGCCAGTCAGCATGCGTGAAATCCGCGCTTTTTCAGGGAAGTAGGGTTCTTTTACTCCTGTAACTGGGTTTTCCTCCATCGCAGGGGCCATGGCAGCAAACTCAGGACGTGGTGGTTCCTGAACATTTAAAAAAAAAAAAAAAAAAAAAACACATGTATACATTACCAATCTAATAAAATCATCAATGTTAGGAATGATTAAAAACATTTTTTTTCTTAAAGTAAGGACAGTGCCTTCTTTTCTGTTGTGTGTAACATGAAAAAGGGCAAAAAACTAATCACATTGTAAAGAATCATTTTAAAAATAAAACTATTTTTCTTAATATTTTTGTCCTGTTTTTTTAATAGTAAATATCAGTATTTTTGCTTCTTTTTTTGTTTTTACATTTAAAAAAATATCTAAACATTATGGAAGCCCCGATGGGCAAGTTTTTTTTTATCGCTATTAGTCCAACAAAAAACAAAACAAACAAACAAAAAAAAAAACCTCTTTCACTTCAGATTGTTTTCCACATATAAAACAAACCAAAAAAAAACTTGCCCATCAGGGCTTCCATAATGTTTAGATATTTTTTTAAATGTAAAAACAAAAAAAGAAGCAAAAATACTGATTAGGAAAATGTAGTGCACGTCAAACCTCCTCTTCATGGAAATCCATGCAGTCCCAGTGGTGAGCGAGAGTGGCATTCTTGCGTTTCCAGTATTCCAGGAACGTGACAGCCCACAAAGACATGAACACACTGAAGAAGACAGTGCCGGGATGATCAAACAGGTAACCCACCTTAAGAAGAGTTGAGAATAAGCACGAGCAAGCAGGAAGTACTATATTTCCAAGTGTTTCTGTTTTTTTTTTTACTATTGGCAACCAGACTACGTTCCAAAAAAGACACAACATAAAACAACTATATATTACATAAAGAAGTCAGTATACAGTATACTCTATACACATCTTCATAAACTAAACAAACATATTGAATGCTAGAATATGGTGTCTTTCACATAGAGTACCCAACCCAAACGAAGGTTTTTAGCCAGAGATGATTACCTTGGCCATGGGACAGATGTCTGATATATTCCAGGGTTTACAGGTTTCACACAGAGGACACATTAGATAAAGTCCTCCACTCTCACAGATTTCCTTCCTGTAGATGGTAAATGGAAACAGGCAACAATGCTAGAGCTAAAATGAAGTATGTTGTCCTGGTAAAACTGTGTTGATCAAACAAAAGGAAATATTAGAAATCTGGCAGGAATGCAGTAAGAGTGCGGTTACTAGAAGCAATAGTTTAGTTTAATGTTAAGATTAATAGACCAAGGAGGTAGAGTGTACAAATGAGTGTATCTAGCATATAGATACACATACAGTGCTCCTAATTTTTGCTCTTGCTCTCTGATTCTCAAAATTATTTTGCTTGCTTATTCTGAGGTGTAAACTGCAGCAAATATTTCCAACTCATCGCTATTAGTCCTTCAAGTACATGCGGGTCAACAGTTGCTATAGTAACAAATAAAGGTCATAAAGCCCATTGATATGACATTATTTCTGTTAGTAGCAAAATAGCTTAGAGGAGTGCCAAATGTGTGAGTCATGTAGAGCTGAAAGAAGTTCAGTGCAGCAGCTGAAACACTGTTAATCGATAATACGGGAGACACTTACGCTGGGGTATTGGATCCCATTGTCAAAATACCCAAAACAAAGACACACGTCCCAACCAATGCAGCAGGCAAGAGCCAGGCTGTGTAAAATCCTGTGAGCAAAAGAATTTGGTCATTATTGGTTATTATAATTATTGGTAATATATTGACAGTACTTGTTTTTGTGGTTTGCGACACTATCAATGCCAAAGCTGTGGGTTTTCGAAAAATATAATATAATTTACTTTCATTTAATTTAATAACAAATATATAATAACAATAATAAATAAAATAATATTATATTAATGTATAAAAAGTACATTAGTAATATGCATTACGCATTACTGCAATGCCAAGATACCACAACCAAAATATGCAAATATGAATAGAATCTATGGTGCCTACTCACCCAACCATGCAAAATAAAGCGCAATCTTCTCTCCAAAGTATTCACGGATGTGATCCAGAGGCTGGTACTTATACCATTTTAACCAGTTGGACCAATAGTGGTACAGTACCTGCCTCTTGTTCAACTGATCAGGCTGGATGTCACAACTTGGGAGCTCAAAAGGGCCCTTAAAAAAAGAAAAAAGCTGACTGAGTATCAAGCTGTACTTTCAATAAGACACGATTGAAACGCATGGCAGTATATGGTGTCTTGTGCCGAACCTCGTGCAGAGGGAATGCACCCGTAAAAGCCCCCTCATTCAGCAGACGGGCGACTCCAACTTCTGCACGCTTCCTCCTGCCATACACAGTCCTTGCTAAGATTTCATACACCTGCAATGAACACAGGTGTAAGCAATTATCATACACCTGAAATAATTTAATACACCATCATATACATTACACTGCCATTCAAAAGTCAGTACGATTTTAAGAAATCAACACTTTTATACATCAATGATGTATTAAATTGATCAAAAGTCACAATAAAGACTTTTACACTGTTAAAAAAAATCTATTTCAAATAAATGCTGTTCTTTTGAATGTTCTATTCATCAAAGAATCCTGAAAAATATCAAGGTTTCCTCAAAAATACCAAAAGTACCACAATACGTCGTGGGGCAGTTGTGACCTAATGGTTAGAGTCGGACTTGTAACCCAAAGGTCGCAGGTTCGAGTCTCAGTACCAGCAGGGATTGTAGGTGGGGGGAGTGAATGACCAGCGCTCCCTTCCACCCTCAATACCACAACTGAGGTGAGACACTGAAGCCCCAACTGCTCCCCTGGTGCCGCAGCAAAAATGTGTGTGTGTGTGCGCACTTGGATGGGTTAAATGCAGAGCACAAATTCTGAGTATGGGACACCATACTTGGCTACACGTCACTTTTCACAACTGTTTTCAATATTGAATAATAATAATATCAATAAATGTTGCTTGAGCATCAAATCAGTATGTTAGAATGATTTCTAAAGGATCATGTGACACTGAAGACTGAAGTAATGACTGTTGAAAATTCAGCTGTGCCATCACATTAATAAATAAAAAAAATTAAATATTAAGAAAGAAAACTTGGTGAGCAAAAGAGACTTATTACAAAAACAAAGGAAAACAAAAAAAAACATACTGACCCCAAAAATCTGAATATTAGAGTATGTAATAATTTATTACACTATCACATATGTGAAACCCAATTCTGCTTTTCTTGTGGCTGTTTATTGCACACTCACAATGCGGTGTCTTTGTGTGTTGGTGAAGTAGTTTTCACGGTCATCAGAGCCCAGAAACCTGAAAGTCGAAGTAAATGTCTATATTTACAAATCTGTTTCTGCAAGTAGATGATCATCTTGTACACTTGTAGAAAAAAAGCGTAACTTTTCCATTTTGGACTTGCGGAAGGCACATGTGTAGTAGTCCACAGGACGGTTGGGGACTGAGTCTTTCATGATGTTCGGCACCCAGAGCTTCTGAAGAACTCGAGCAGAGGTGTTGTAGTCTGGGTGTGGCTGTACCTATCAATGAACACATACAACTCATTTCAGAGCTCAATTCACTTGATTCTAGTGTTATTTTAAGCCCTCTGTATTTGCGTTGGGGAGGTGAACTTGAAAACATGACAATAACCTGCAGAGGTGCCCTAAGACATAACTCCTCAGCGTAGTACACCAACACATCCCATGGAGCATGGAGCTTCAGATAGTGTACAGTCTTCTTTACACTGGATGATTCTTCCTGATAATAAAGAGAAAACCATTAGCAACACCATAGCAAGTACCATAAATGGCACTGCACTGAGGAAATTAACCTAATAGCTTAACCTTTTCCATCAACAGTCCAGCACTCTGGAGGTTCTGGATGAATTTGTCCCTCCATTGGGCCAGCTGCGCTTTTCTTCTCTCTGACCTGCTGTCCTCCTGTGCTGCTTCTACTGCATCCTCTGCCGCCTGTCCTTGCGACTGTCCCCGACTTCGACGCTTACGACGCACCTTCACCTCCCACACCAGGACAAAGTCTGAGGCCAGAACAAATAGGCTTAATATGACTACTTATGCAGCAATGCAGTTGGTGTATTTATAGCGCTTTCATCAAACCCTTACCTATTTTTGTTTGGCCGTCTCTGAAGTAGTTGCCTGGGGGCTGAACAGGTGGGCTTGAGGTCCGCTCACAATAAACATATATGGGGTCATCATCCTCATCATTAGCCGCAGTGGTCAACTATTTTGACAACATTAATATATTTAAGCAACGCATACCAGTACGATCATTAGCAATCACACCATTAGCAATCACATGAACCATTAAAGAATAGTTCACCCAAAAATGAAAATTTTATGAAAATGTATTCAGCCTTACCCTTGTATGTTCATCGAAACTCAGCATGTTGTACATTCACGGAGAAATTCAGCATTACATCACTTGCTCACCTATGGATCATCTGCTGTGAATGGATGCCGTCAGAATTTAGGTTCCAATATCTCCATAAGTCCATTAGTCATAATAATGCTTCATCCAGTGAAAAAGTCCATCCCCTGTTCTCCTCTCACATCTAAATCCACCAACACATTTGTGGGTCTGTTTTTGCTTGTAAACAGTGATCTGTGCATATTTCTCCCCTGATTCAGATGAGATGACTTTCTCATTGGAGAAAGCAATATTATGGATAGAGGACTCATATTTTAACCAGAAACAACTGTTTGAAGTTAAAAACATCTTAAAGATGAATTTATTAAAAACATGCTTTGTGCTTCAGTTAATTGATGTGATGTTTTTATCAGCTGTTTGGACTCTCATTTTGATGGCACCCATTCACTGCAGAGGATCCACTGATGAGCAAGTGATGTAATGCTGAATTCCTCCAAATCAGTTCTGATGAAGAAACAAACGCATCTATATTGTGGATGGCCTGAGGGTGAGTACAATTTCAGCAATATTTCACTTTTGGGTGAACTATTCCTTTGACTGTTGGGCTGTAATCATGTAGTTGGTGGCGAACTCCCATTAACTGTCGGCGAGTGTAAAATCAGGGCTAGTAGTTTGTGGATAGCATTAAATATCTCGGCCTATTTGTTCTGACTGGAAATAACATCAGTGACGATAATTAGTTGTGTAATGTGAAAAAAATCAAAAGAAAGAAACGAATCAGTGTTTTTGAAGGAATAGGTTGAGTGAATGATTTAAATGAGTCATTAATAAAGGCTGTCACTTGTTACCACCTCCTGGTGTAATGATGTAACAGTCTGTCTAGAATGCACAAACACAGACAAGCAAACAGTGAAAAGTCCAGCAGTTGGACTGCTGCTTGGCCAATCAAATTCAAGGTCTGGAACCAGCTATTGTAAATGACAATCTGACAACAATTACAACTGTACTGAATGTTTTATTGAAATGCGACAGGTAAAAACAATGAACCCATTAGCAAAAATATTTTAATACATCCTTTATAAATACTGTATTAACATAACAAAACACTCTAAGAAACCACCAGGTTGCCTAACAGCAAAGTCATGTGCTAATTAGCCATTTTAGCACACAACCGAACAGCTCTGCAATGGCTTTGATGATATTGCTACACACATCAACTAGAACTCTTGTTTTGATGAACAAATGCATCTCAAAACATATGCATCAGTACATAATGCTGTTCAACACAGATCAGTACACTCACATATCTGGGAGGGATGAAGCCCCCATTTTGCAGGCTTCCATAACTCTCTGGACCATGAGTGTCGCCGCAGTAGTCCAGATCCAGCAGAACCTCCCGGTCCATCAGCACCTCAGGGTTCCTCTTCTTCAGCATGATAGACAGCTAGAATCAAACGCTGAGGTGAAGCTAGAAGAGACTAGGTCGTTTAACTCCCATTCAGTGCTTCAGTACAACTGATCTATGTACACAGTCCCACGTTCCAGTCCAGGCACTCCTGCAGAACATCAGCGTCCAATAAATTATGCACAAATTAAATTTGTGATAAAAGTGTAAGTGCATTCCTCCCCCAAAGAAGAGCTGCAGGAGAGGAGACAGAGGAAATGCACTAAGTGCCTCTATATGCGGATAAGACTAAACAAGGGCAGAAGTGGTTCTGCAGCATCTCTGCACTCTCCCTCCCTCTCATTCACTGCATCCCACTGTCTCCTCAGCACTCTAGAGGGACACTTACCGTAAATCCTCTGGCATACGAGCCTATACTTTCATCTTCAGCAAGGAAAAACCCAAGTAAACACACTTTACAAAAAGAATGCATATATCCTGTTTCCTGTTAAAGAAAGATTATACTCTGCAAAACACAGTGTCATGTTCAGGTAGACATTCACTTAAATCACTATTCATCCGAGTCTCTTGAGGTGAAGATCCAATTTTTAATGCATTCGAATTACACATAAATCCGGTCTCAGATAAACTATAGATGCACTAAACTGTGTGTTTAAGGAGCATAAATCTTATTGCCTAAAGAGGTACATGACCTATTGAAAGGATGGACCATCACAGTTCAAAAACCTTCAGTGCAAAGAGGTAAAACGTTGCATTGGATATTGAATCATTGCCACCTGAAAGTTAGGAATTGGCCTGAACAAATTGGCTGAGTCAGAGAGGAATTCTGCTGTAGGCTTTACATTGCTTTAGTTGCATTGCCATTATTTGCATTTTGTATATTTACATCTTGTACTAATCATTAGTACTTAACAGCAATTAAAGTCTGCCATTAGCCGTTTGAATGGTATTTGCAGACTTCTGGGTCAGTCTTAAACGCATGCTTGGCTGAGAGCCACAAATAGCTCATATTTCTCACTATTCAAACGCATTTGTGAGACAAACATTGAGTACAAATGACTTTTCACGGTCTCAAAAAAAAAATCTCTGTATGTACCATGTGATCCTTTTTGCTTTATATGTCCCCTATCCCATCCCCCCAATCTCAGAGGTGCGTTAATATTTTGATGTTACTGCAGCAGTGCAGACAGAGGGAGGAGAGAAATAAAGAGAAGGGGTTGGGCAGTTAAAGTGAGAGGGAGGAGGGTTTGAGCACCTTCTTTTCATTGAACCGCAGGAGTAGAGAGGCAAGGATAACTGGAAAAGAAGCAATGCCACCTGACTGCAGAAATCCACCCCTATACATGAGGAAAGCAAAAATATAATTGGAAATATGGGCCCAATATATACAGAATATATCATAACAATTAAAAAAACTCATACAAGAAACTACAAGAGGACTTTAGTTCAATAGCAGTGATGTAATTTGTTCAATTTTGGTTTAAATTAAATGCTTACACCTATGTGCAATAATGTCACCAAAAATAGGAGTACTTGGTCAAGTTCAATACCATTAGATTGCACCATTAAGTCTTTGGGTTATTGTTTCTAGTTAACCTACTAAGTAGTAATTTGTTAAATGGACATTTCAGCATTTTCATATTTCAACATTTACACACCCTCAAGTTGTTTCAAACCTGTATTAGTTTTTTTCTTCTGTTTAACACAAAATAATTTATTTCGAAGAAAGTTGGTAACCAAACAGTTGCTGGTAGCCAATGACTTCCATAGTAAAAAAAAAAATACTATGAAAGTCAATCAGCCACTGTTTGGCTACCAACATTCTTCAAAATATCTTTTTGTTTTGGTAGTGAGTAAATTATGACAATTTTCATTTTGGGGTGAACTATCCCTTTAACATCTGTTTTAAATTGTCTATTTAAATGCCACTATTGGGATTGTTTGTATAATTTTTGTATTTATCTTTATTTTTCTGAGCATCTTGTTCTTCTATACAATATTCTGTTTTAAAAAGATTCACAGTTTTTACCCCTTTCAAAGTCAGTGTCATTACAACTGCGAATATTAGGTTATTATTCATAACTTTTCACGATTTAAAGTCATTTTTATTTATATTTGTTATCATATTGACATCTTCAAAAATGTACATGCAGCATTTAGTGTATCTGAGACATTAGAATGTTAGAACAACATAATCGACTACTGTAGGTCACTCCCATTTAAAACAAAAATTAAAAACATTTTTAAAAAAAAAACTAAAACCACATTTAAATTGTTCATGAACAACTGTATTCCATCAATGTCCAGCCATGTATTATTTAAAGTTACTGTTGACTGGAACAAACTTCAACATACCTGAGATTCTGCTTCCATTCATCACGGTCTGTCAAAGATCCACATTACTCAAGTTTACTCAAGTCTGCTTTCTTTAAAACCACTCTACATTCTTAAAACAATTTTACAGTGTTTCACTGGAAATGGTATATTATACCTAATGTACCAATGAGCGAGGAACTGGGAATGCATTTGATATTTAAGCTAAAACACAGATATGGATGATCAGTGTTTTGTTTTGTTTTAAACCTTTTCTTGCACTTTTCTTAAAACCGAAAAATTTGCGAATGCTTACGTATGATCGGAAATCATTTTATAGCCATTAAAAAAATAAAAACCCTCAAACCTATCTTTTAACAAAAGTTAAAAAAAAATTTTTTTTAAATGAACGTGCAATTCTTCTGTAACCAACTCCTTCACTTCTAAACTGTCATTTCAGTTGCAAGAGCCTTAATATCTTCAACTAATGATATTTTAGAATTGTATGTCCCTTATTACAGTATTTCAATACCTGATCCTAACAAATTACTTCATTCCAATATAACAACAGCAATTACATGCTGGTACCATGCCATCACTGTTAGCAGTGCTGACTGATATTAGATATCTAAATGAAAGCCGGACCAATTCCCTCCTTTTCTCTCTCTGTATGTTTTGAGTGTCTGTGCCAAGCTGCCATGCAAATGGTTATACTTTCAAATAGTTAACTTAAAGCAGCCAGCTAATACCAAAGGTGTATACATAACTAAAATTATCTTTCGCAAGTGCTCACAAAGCAGTTTGTACCTCTTTATATAGTACAGGCATGATGTACAGTATCCGTCCATAGACTTTATTCAAGGAGGGAAGGTTTTATAAAAAAAAAAATTTTTTAAAAGAGCTTTTGAGTTATTACTATTTACACTCTATATAGTCTGATCACATGTAATGGAAGAGAACTGCTAGATCTCTTGTTTTTTTGATTTCCTGTTGTAGACTTCCACTAGTAAAAGCCAAAGCCTTAATCTTAACTCCTTAAATATTTGTGCAAGGCAAGTGTAAACAAGGTCAGGCCTCATTACAGGTAGATAAATATCATATGAGCCCATGTTATTCAATATCGTCTCTGGTCTGGAGAGCTCACAGTGACTGCTTGTACCTACGTAAACAGTAGGTTTGCTGGTGAGCTGACTTCTCCATGCAGTCTTATTTAATCCTGGGCTCACTGTAGTGATGGACAGGTCGTCAGCACCATGGTTCTCTCTCTGATCGACCTCGGTGTAGGCTGTCACTCCTCTGCCATGCACTCTTCATCAGCTCCAGCGCTTCCCTACACCTCTTCTGCACTGATAGGTCTGAAACTGGCTTACGCGGTAGGCTTACCTGGACACACATGTAGAAATTTATACTGTAAATAAATAAATAATATTAATAAGAATGTTGATAAAACATTTCTTACGCTCACCAAGGTTGCATATATTGATCATAAATACAGTAATATTGCTAAATTACATTTTAAAATATATTAAAATACAAAATAGTAATTTATTCCTGTGATGGAAAAGCTGAATTTTAGCAGTAACTTAAATGCCACGTCATCTTTCAGAAATCATTCTAATATGCTGATTTGGTGCTTAAGAAACATTTCTTATTATTAGCAATGTTGATAGCTGGGCTACTTAAAATTTTGGAGATACATTTTTTTACAGGAATATTTGATTAATTCAGAAGATGGCAGATCCTGTTGGACACAGCCAACTCATCTCTAACTGTGTACGTTTTTTTTTTAATAAAGTGTATCCCCATGAGGTTGTTTAGTAAGCATGTCTTTCATGTTCTCTCCTCGGCTGGTTTCTGACTGTGATGAAGGTGGCCTTGGAAAAGGGCTGTAGGGAGCCTCTCAACCCCTCTGTTCTCACTGACACCACCATGGAGAAACTTACTCTTTCTAAGTTTGTATGTCAGTTCAAAAGAACAGAATTTCTCTGTAATAAAAATCTTTTGTAACATAAAAGATTTTACTGTTCGATTACAAATCCATTATGGGAATACAGTCCAACAAAAGCATCTTTCGCATATAAGAGTAGAGATGAAGTACAGCAAACATAAGGATGAAGGCCTCCTTTCTTAAATTTAAAACTACATATGCCATTCAGAAGTCATGATTTGCTGGCTATAAAAAGTGTTTTCTTCACCTGGTAAACAGCAGCCCAAGCTTTACTCAACTCTCCTAGTAGCCGATCTCGCTCCTCACATCCGCTAAAATACAAAACCCAGGGTGGGAGAAACTGAGCACGATCTTCTGCAAATTCCTTCAGACAGAAAGTGTGATTAGTGCATGTTTAAAAACAAAAAAAACAATCACCAAGTAAAGCTTCTGCATTTATTAAACTAATGTGATTCATAATAACAAGCACACATTTCCAGAAAAAAAAAACCAAGGAACACCCTAAATGTGAGGAGTTTATTTGTAGATGTGAAACTATAAACAGCAAACATCTGTTCACAGAGACATCTGACACACAACAATCTGAATTAACTCTTACAATGACACAGTATTCTTTATCCTCTTCTAGGCAAACAGCTGTGACATCGTTCAGATCAGCCCCTCCTAGAGAACGGAAAAAACTGGTCTGGCAATCTTGGTGACATGTGAGCAACTTCCTGTCTGTGAGTACAAGGCAACATGGAATACAGGGTGCAGGAGCTACTCCCTGTGGAATAATCTGAGAAACAAGAATAAAGAATAGTGGTCAACATCTGGGGAATCTGTGGAACATTCTGATTAATTCTGGACAGGCTATACTAAGAAAACAATATCTACAGCATCCACTATAGGCTGGAATACACTAGACAAATTTTGCTCAGATTTTTGCCCCACTTTACAGTCCAGAAGAGTCAATACTAGTCAGAGCCAGTCTGCAGATTTGAGTTGACAGAAAATCACGTAGTGTATGACGTGTACTCATAATGCCGTTTGTTACGGTTTTAAAAGTTGTTCAGAATTTAAATGCTGTATAGTGTATTTCATCCATAAAATGCAAATGTTGGCATGTCTGGAACTAATGAGGAACAACACATTGTCATGTGGCGACTCTAAAAGCATTTAAAATGCACACTCCCACATTTTGCGAACACGCCACCAGCTCGGAAAAATATAGTAGATTTGAATGGAAAATCTGAAATGGTGCATTTAGTCACACTACCCAAAAACTGTAGAGATCTTGTTTTGCAAGAACTAGCTGAAATGCATCCAGTAAAAAAAAAAAAGGTTAATGTGTGCATGATTGCAGCTTACCCCTTTAGAGACAGACTGGCAGAGCAGCTGCATCCAGTCGGCCATTTCCAGTTCGTTTTCTGCACTGAGCACTAATGGAGGATGTTCAGTCAGAATCACTTGAAAAGCATGAGGCTTCTCTAAGCTGTTTGAACGCCTACAGCCTCCACAGTGCCCTCCCCTATAACAAACACAATCACATGCAAATATACAGCAAATGTTTATAAGTGGGCATCTTTCATATTGAAAAGAACATTTATTTTACATTGCTAAGAGTGTAAACTATGAACTGGAACAACAGCTTACCCCATGGTCACAGACATCAAAGGTGTAATATCTGTTCTCTCTGCATACTGATACAGGATGCCGTTGCTGCCAAGTGAACAGTACATTTAGATTCAGGACACACGAACAGCTTGCTCAAACACTGTTGAATAGCTTAAAGCACCAAACCCTTTTATACCTGAGAACCAAGTAACAGCTTTTCCACACTTCCTTCCCCAAATAAGTGCTCCCGGCCCGGTACAACAGTGCCCCCTCTTTAGTGCTACTGGATTCTCTGGAGCCGAACGGAGATGTTGATGAAGCCACTGCTGCATCCATTGGGTCCTCCCAGTGAACCAGAGAATACAGGCAGATGCTCATCTCAGGTAACTACACAAACACAGTTAGCACAATGTCAATAACACAAGTCCTAGCATGTGCATTTAATTGACTACTCGATGCACCAAGTACTTTTGTAATGTCCATTTCAAAACAGGTTTATTGAACAGAAACGGAGGTCTTGAGATTTTTTTGAGACATTTTTTATAAAGTTTAGTGTGAGATGCCAAATTATTTTTCTCTTTGATATGATAAATTCATAATTTATGCATAAAAGGGTTAATATATTGTATAAGAATAATAATCCTGTAAGCACTGTGCCTACTTTAAAATCATATTATTAGTCCAAAATATTTGCTATAATTATTACAAAGCTGCTTGTTGTGAATTAGTTTATTAGTAAACAGAAAAAACTGGAAAAAAGAAAATACTTATTGAGGGCGATAAACATAAATATTCACAATTATTTAATTATACCTTTATAATTATTTTAATGTATTAACTATATAATTCATATTAATTGTATTAATAATAATCTATTAATTGTAATAATTTTAAGTCATCCTGCACCCCCCCTTGGAAGTTTGCTGAGGCCCCCTGGTTGAGAACCACTGGTCTAAACTGTATAATCAATGTAAATGTTTTAATTGTAAATGCATTTTAGAAAGAGTCCACATGAAGTACTAAGATTATCAAAGTGAGCCACTGTCTGCCCGACTCTTGTGAATTATTTAGGGTAATAGATCTCCCCCATTTACCTCACAGTGAGTCTCTTGGCATACAAACTTAGAAAGAGCAAGTTTCTCCATGGTGGCGTCAGTGAGAACAGAGGGGTAGAGAGGCTCTCTACAGCCCTTTTCCAAGGCTGCTTTCAGCACTGTCAGGAACCATCTGGGGAGAGAACATGAACAGATCCTCTTCAAAGACATGCATACTAATCAACTTCATGGGGATACCCTTTAATTTAAAAAAACTTACACAGTCAGAGATGAGTCAGCTGTGTCCAAAAGGAACTGCCGTCTTCTATTAGTGCACACTAGAGTGATAGTCTGCTGGTGAAGTCCCACCTAAAGCACAAACAAGGGCTTTAATCTCTCTGCAGCAAGTCAAACTGATCATTTAGGCTTCAGGTGGTTTACTCACAGAGATGTAGTCCAGCTCGTTATAAGATACCGCCTCCTCAACCTTATAAGGCTTCTCTGCTGCCCCTGAAAATCAATGGGACACAACAACAAATGCAAACAAGCGTTTTTGTAGACATATAACAATGTTCTGCTCTTCCAATAAAGGTTTGCTGACCTTTTCGCAAGAGGTAAATGTAGCAGTCCGTCAACAGCAGATACAGAGGCTGCAAATCTCCTTCCATGTGGCCTGTGCTCATCCTCACCATCTGAAATTACATGTAAAACTGCAAACCAATCAATAGGTAACACTGGTTTACAACAGGGGTTCCCAACCACATTCCCGGAGCCAGAGCCGTTATATGTACAGGATAACTGAAATGTTTAGGGCAAGGTTCCTCAAATCATGCCCTGGAGGGCCAATGCGCTGCAGAGTTTAGCTCCAACCCTGACCAAACTCCCCTACCTATGATTTTCTAATGATCCTGAAGACATTGGTTAGCATGCTCAGGTATGTTTGATTAGGGTTAGAGCTAAACTCTGCAGGGAAGTGAATCTCGCGGGCCAGATTTGAGGATCCCTGGTTTAGGGTGAGTACGATTTTTTATTTGTTTTTATTTTTACTTTTTTTTTTAGATAGGATGCATTAAATTCATGAAAAGTGACAGTAAAGACATTGACAACGTTACAAAAGGGCTCCATTTCAAATAAATGTGATAGTCTGCTGGTGAAGTCCCACCTAAAGCACAAACAAGGGCTTTAATCTCTCTGCAGCATGTCAAACTGATAATTTAGGCTTCAGGTTGTTTACGCACAGAGATGTAGTCCAGCTCGTTATAAGATACCGCCTCCTCAACCTTATAAGGCTTCTCTGCTGCCCCTGAAAATCAATGGGACACAACAACAAATGCAAACAAGCATTTTTGTAGACGTATAACAATGTTCTGCTCTTCCACTAAAGGTTTGCTGACCTTTTCGCAAGAGGTAAATGTAGCAGTCCGTCAACAGCAGATACAGAGGCTGCAAATCTCCTTCCATGTGGCCTGTGCTCATCCTCACCATCTGAAATTACATGTAAAACTGCAAACCAATCAATAGGTAACACTGGTTTACAACAGGGGTTCCCAACCACATTCCCGGAGCCAGAGCCGTTATATGTACAGGATAACTGAAATGTTTAGGGCAAGGTTCCTCAAATCATGCCCTGGAGGGCCAATGCGCTGCAGAGTTTAGCTCCAACCCTGACCAAACTCCCCTACCTATGATTTTCTAATGATCCTGAAGACATTGGTTAGCATGCTCAGGTATGTTTGATTAGGGTTAGAGCTAAACTCTGCAGGGAAGTGAATCTCGCGGGCCAGATTTGAGGATCCCTGGTTTAGGGTGAGTAAGATTTTTTATTTGTTTTTATTTTTACTTTTTTTTTTAGATAGGATGCATTAAATTCATGAAAAGTGACAGTAAAGACATTGACAACGTTACAAAAGGGCTCCATTTCAAATAAATAATTATTTGATCATCAATGAATCCTGAGAAAAAAAATCTTTCACGATTTCCATAAAAATATTAAGCAGCACAACTTTTTTCAACATTGATAAGAAATGCTTCTTGAGCACCAAATCAGCATATTAGAATGATTTCTGAAGGATCATGTGACACTGAAGACTGGAGTTATGGCTGCTGAAAATTCAGCTTTGCCATCACAGGAATAAATTACATTTAAAGATTTTATTAAAATAGACAATTATTTTATATTGTAATAATAAATTTTTCACAATATTAGTTTTTTTTACTGTATTTTTGATCAAATAAATGCATCCTTAGTGAGCACAAGACACTTAAATGTTTTTTTTAAATCTTGCAGACCCCTAACATAAAAAAAAATCAGTATGTGACCTCTTGATTTTCCCATCTGACTTGCATTAAAAATAGCTCAAAATAAGTATAGCATTTGTTTTGGAACAGTAGGCAGACTTTCAATGTTGTCAGGAATACATCAGGATCTGAACTACAAACGCGATGTGGTCACTTCTGATCACCTCTGAATGTGGTTTGAGTGATTGGGTAATAAAATGGTACGATAAATGGGTATGCTGCAGCATGGACACAATGTAAAACTGTAAATACAAAGTTATCCATTCAGTTGTGTTAAATCAAGCAGAGTTTCACCTTAAAGAGCTGTTCTTCATTCTCCCTGAAAACGTGAATCATGAGCAGCAGAAGGTGATTGTTATCCACCCTGTACAACAAACAAAAAAACAAATACCGTAACCTCTTAATAAATCACATATTGCGTCAATAGAGCCATTTCAAACCTAATTAGTCACTGATTACAATCAGTTTACAATCTCACTTAAACTCTGCAGCATGAGAGCTCTGTATTGTGTGGTCTTTATCTTCCTCCTGCTTTTCTTCTTCTTTACTCCGTTCCTCCTCAGCTGACGTCTCTATGGGGATGGAGGGATCCTGCCCTGCAGCTAAGGCACAAACAAGGGCTTTAATCTCTCTGCAGCATGTCAAACTGATAATTTAGGCTTCAGGTTGTTTACGCACAGAGATGTAGTCCAGCTCGTTATAAGATACCGCCTCCTCAACCTTATAAGGCTTCTCTGCTGCCCCTGAAAATCAATGGGACACAACAACAAATGCAAACAAGCGTTTTTGTAGACATATAACAATGTTCTGCTCTTCCAATAAAGGTTTGCTGACCTTTTCGCAAGAGGTAAATGTAGCAGTCCGTCAACAGCAGATACAGAGGCTGCAAATCTCCTTCCATGTGGCCTGTGCTCATCCTCACCATCTGAAATTACATGTAAAACTGCAAACCAATCAATAGGTAACACTGGTTTACAACAGGGGTTCCCAACCACATTCCCGGAGCCAGAGCCGTTATATGTACAGGATAACTGAAATGTTTAGGGCAAGGTTCCTCAAATCATGCCCTGGAGGGCCAATGCGCTGCAGAGTTTAGCTCCAACCCTGACCAAACTCCCCTACCTATGATTTTCTAATGATCCTGAAGACATTGGTTAGCATGCTCAGGTATGTTTGATTAGGGTTAGAGCTAAACTCTGCAGGGAAGTGAATCTCGCGGGCCAGATTTGAGGATCCCTGGTTTAGGGTGAGTAAGATTTTTTATTTGTTTTTATTTTTACTTTTTTTTTTAGATAGGATGCATTAAATTCATGAAAAGTGACAGTAAAGACATTGACAACGTTACAAAAGGGCTCCATTTCAAATAAATAATTATTTGATCATCAATGAATCCTGAGAAAAAAAATCTTTCACGATTTCCATAAAAATATTAAGCAGCACAACTTTTTTCAACATTGATAAGAAATGCTTCTTGAGCACCAAATCAGCATATTAGAATGATTTCTGAAGGATCATGTGACACTGAAGACTGGAGTTATGGCTGCTGAAAATTCAGCTTTGCCATCACAGGAATAAATTACATTTAAAGATTTTATTAAAATAGACAATTATTTTATATTGTAATAATAAATTTTTCACAATATTAGTTTTTTTTACTGTATTTTTGATCAAATAAATGCATCCTTAGTGAGCACAAGACACTTTAAAAAAAATTTTTTTTTAATCTTGCAGACCCCTAACATAAAAAAAAATCAGTATGTGACCTCTTGATTTTCCCATCTGACTTGCATTAAAAATAGCTCAAAATAAGTATAGCATTTGTTTTGGAACAGTAGGCAGACTTTCAATGTTGTCAGGAATACATCAGGATCTGAACTACAAACGCGATGTGGTCACTTCTGATCACCTCTGAATGTGGTTTGAGTGATTGGGTAATAAAATGGTACGATAAATGGGTATGCTGCAGCATGGACACAATGTAAAACTGTAAATACAAAGTTATCCATTCAGTTGTGTTAAATCAAGCAGAGTTTCACCTTAAAGAGCTGTTCTTCATTCTCCCTGAAAACGTGAATCATGAGCAGCAGAAGGTGATTGTTATCCACCCTGTACAACAAACAAAAAAACAAATACCGTAACCTCTTAATAAATCACATATTGCGTCAATAGAGCCATTTCAAACCTAATTAGTCACTGATTACAATCAGTTTACAATCTCACTTAAACTCTGCAGCATGAGAGCTCTGTATTGTGTGGTCTTTATCTTCCTCCTGCTTTTCTTCTTCTTTACTCCGTTCCTCCTCAGCTGACGTCTCTATGGGGATGGAGGGATCCTGCCCTGCAGCTGGTGTTTCTGCTTTTCCCTCATCTTCATCGCTAACAGGAACATCCTGCGACTCGCCATTCCCTGCAGAGTCATTGTGCCCACCACACGAGGCAGCAAGGTCTGGACTCTGGGAGGTAAAGCAGTAGAAGTTCGCAGGTGAAAGGGGGGCCTGCAGGAAGCTACGGCTTGGGTCTGGAGGTTTACCACCCGAGTCCTCTCGAAAGGGCCGCTGATGGGGGAGTCCATCGTGACTAGCGCGAGTTCCATCCTCTTCCTCCTCACCTTCACTTCGCTGCCAGCTTTCCCCATCCAAAGAACCGTTCAGTCTGTCCATGATGTCACGGAGGGGTTCGCCCACACTGTCCATAGAAGTGTCCGTCATTTCAGGGAGCCTCAGCCCTGCCTCTGGGTCTTCATCTTCTCCTTTTTGTCTCCCATTCCTCACAGACTCTGAGCCAGGACCAATTGGCCCCTCCATAGGACCCCGACAGTCCATATTAATATGGTCTACTACAATGTCTCTCTCAACTACAATCTGAAGGCATTCCTCAGTGTCAACTGTGTCTGGAGAGGTGACATTCTGCTCGCTGCTCACAGAGTCTGTCAACCCTCTTCCCCTTCGTTTCTTACCAGGTCTTCTGCGCCTTGCCATTCTGTAGCACAACAAAGGAAAACCAAACAGAAAAAAAAAATGTATATACCCAATGTTAAAACTATGCAGCATTATGTCATTGCGAAATAATAAACAAGAACATTATATTTAAGTGGAGCTGGAAGGTCAAGTGGGTCATAGAGGGACTAGAGGGACCAAATAGTATTGCATAAGTCTTTTTCCATTGATGGCCATTCAAAAGTATCCGTTTCATTCTGATTAAATACATTTTTTTCAAGCAACATACAAAATTGTAAATATATTTTATTAAATGTTTTGTAATGTAAAGATGTTTTGCCATTGACTGTTTGTTTTGGAGGGCTCTTAAACCATAAACTAGACTTCCTCCAGGATGTGCTACCCATGAAACTGCCATAAAGATAAAAGGGAATGCTAGCAGATGGCTTTTTCCAAGTATTACAGATTTTATTAGTTTAGATAAGCTCACACCACTGGTTGAGCTACAAACTGACATCTCAAACTGCTTCTTGTTTTTTTTTTTTTTTTTAAATGCCAGCATTTAGTCTTTGAGAAGTTGACCTATAAACTGAAAGAGAAGTATTGTAACACACACACACACACACACACACACACACACACACACACACAAATTATACACTTCACCATTTCAACTAATAATGTGTGACTGATATGCTACTACAATCCTAGACCATTAGATCGAATGCTCAAGACACACCTAATGACTTCCAGCTCAGTGTTGGTGATCTCAGCATCTTCTCCTGTTTTGGAAGCATGACGGCTAGGCATGTGCACTGGGGTGACGTCAGCTGAAGTGTTAGTGTCCGAGTCCTCAATGAAGGGATTGTGCCGAAACGTAGGGCTTTGTGACAGAGATGTGGTCCTGATGGTGCCTGCAGCGGGCCTCAATACAACGCAGTCACTGACAACAGTCTGAGGGTCCGATCCTAAAGAGGAGCGGGGCCCACTGACTGGATCTGTCAAGTCTCCCTCTGTCAGAAAACGAGAGCAAGAAGGGAAAACACCAGAGACATGCAGGTATTAGGAGCTCATTGTAGGAGTATTAGGCTGATACTGAATCATGACAAATGATTCAGAGACATACAACACACATAAGCCGTTTTGCAACACAAACTTAGCCTTCTAGCTACTTCCATCTCATTCTTTTATGTATCTGAAATTCTGACAAATCACAAACAGGGCAATCTATTTATTTTTTATTTCCTTATTCATTAATGAAGTTCAAAACAACAGCATTTATTTAAATTAGAACATTTTGTAACATTATGAATACCTTTATTGTCACTATTAATCAATTTAATAAATTTTTGCTGAATAAAATTCTCTTTTAAACAAATCTTAGTGAGCCCAAACCTTTAAGCAGTATAGTGACAATACTGTAGTATTGATGACAGAAGCATATGCTCTTGCAATGGTTCTGACCGTTTTTTAGAAAGAAAATGAAACATAATAATTGCTTCATTAAATACTGTAAGTGTTGTATCTGAATTAAATAACATTAATCTCAAAAGTTAAACCATTACTTTTGTCAAACCTACAAAGAATAATTTAATATCATACAAGCAAAAAAAAAAAAGTCTATATTTAAAAGACTCCAATTTGATTATTATGGTCAGCATTTCATAATCAATAAATTAAAGGGGTCGTATGCTGTTGCTAAAAAGAACATTATTTTGTGTATTTGGTGTAATGAAATGTGTTTATGCGGTTTAAGGTTCAAAAAACACATTATTTTCCACATATTGTACATTATTGTTTCTCCTCTATGCCCCGCCTTTCTGAAACGCGTCTATTTTTACAAAGCTCGTCGGTCTGAAAAGCGAGGTGTGCTCTTATTGGCCAGCTATCCAGTGCATTGTGCTTGGCCAAATACCTCAAGCATGTGATGGAAATGTTACACCCCTTACCATGCTGTGATGCCCTGTCCGGCCGGAGCGACGAGACAAAAACATTAAAACCCATTATAAACTAGGCATTTGTTGCATCCAGTGGGGACATAATTACGGATTATAATGACTTATACGGTCTTTTTACGCGTTGCATCGCGCTGCGTAAAAATAAAACCATGTCTGCATTTGTGATTGGAGAAATGACAAACAACAAGCGCTACTCTACACTGCTCAACTCACGTTTGATTCGTCAGTGGCAAATCCTTTAAATATGAAAACGTACTTACAGGCTGCGAGTCAGCATTATTTGTCAGAACACCAGCATTGTAGTCTACTTTACCAGGATCAGGAAACAGTCCTTGTCCTCCATAAAATGTGCTGCACACGTCTGAATATTTGGGTTGAAGTGTTCTGGAACAGTGTTGTAAATACAACTTAACCACTGATTTCTAGTCGTGTCCTATTTTGGAAGGCCAAACTAAGTAGTTTCGCTTTCACAACGAAACACACAGCGTCACACACGTCCGCCTAGAGTGAGCGGCGGCCGGCGGGATTGAGAACAGCGCGGCCGGCGGATTCGACGAAGGATGACTCCGCATTGTCCACGGTGAAAGCCGATCCACAGCGCGAACTTGATGTATTTCCTCAGCGACCAGCACGGATATCGTCCTCTTTTTGAAAGGCCAAACAAAGTAGTTTCGCTTTCACAACAAAACACACAGCGTCTTCACGACATGGCGGCAGCAACAATACTACAGCGTGTTAGAACGAGTCGTTTTAGGTAGGTGTGGCTGACTCTTAACTTTTATAAAGAATATCTCTTTGGATTTGAGACTTTAGTCTTTGCAACTTTACAGATCTCCTTTATGCACCAAGATCTTGTAACACTCCAAAGAGAAAGGAAAAATTTTAAATCACATCATATGACCCCTTTAAGAATATTTGCCACAGAATGTAAAGCTTTGGAAGCAGCTAACATGCAAACCAGCTGCCACACACTGCCACAGGTGCAATAGCAGGAAACACAATCTGACAACAAACAGCATGTTCCAGCAGCATCAGGCACGGTGTATGTTTTAGTATCATCCCATCAGCAGAGGGTTTGGTTCTGTTTAGTCTAATACAGGCCATGGCCACCAGTAACCCATCTATGAAATCATCAAAAGCACACTGCCTATAACAGCTTCTGTGCATTAAACAAACATGCACAGAGTGAAATGACCACGCAATGCTGGTTAGTAGGTTAAATTGTACCAATGGATTGGTTGGGGTTGCGAATGTTAGATTGGGGAGGGGGGAAATAACCATGTCCCACCTTCCCAGTCTGCACTTGGCAATGACTGCAACACAGGGAAGATGTCACCAAAATCATAATCTAAAAAAGGAGAAATAAGATTCATCAATAGGCAGGAAAGAAGGATGAGGGGAATGAAAGAAGAACAGAAACTGAAAGAGATATAAAGTGAAAGTGAAACTTGGCATATGAGGAACTAAAAGAGACACTGGGACATAATGAGCTGTGAAATGTGTCACTGAATGAAATGAAAAGCATTAATGTGTGATCATGAAGGGTCATTATCTTTTAGATAAACAATATTTAACAAAGATTACCATCATCTTGGTACAGAATAATCAATTATATTTAAATATGCTAACATGTAAAAGAAAGAATAAAAGTGAAAAATAATATCCAAAAGTGTGAAAATAAGACAGAAGTTGGAATAGTAACAGACAGAGAGGTAGAGAAAAAAAAATGGTGAATTGAAGCCAAGCAGCTCACCTTCACTGGATGGGGCAATAGCACTGTCGTCCCACTCAAGGTTAGTGGAGGTAAGGGATGTGAAAGAGTGCAGAGACAGGCTATCAGAGCTTGGCAACCTCTCCTCAAAATCCAACAGATTATGGGGTTTGTAGTATTCTGGCATGTAAGGAGCAACATCCAGATATGGCACGTCCTGTCACCAATTAAAAAATTAAGTATTAGGCACTAGGCAGTGGAAATATTGAAATCTTCAGTCATGGAAGATATAGAACAGTACAAAATGTAGTAATGTAAAAGCAGAATTTTGATATTATAAGTGAGTAGTTGATATAAATATGTTTGGTAAGTGTATATGGCATTCGATACTCCATCTAAAACTATTTTAAATAGTTTTGCTTGTTATTTTATAATTATTATTCAAACATAGTTTGCAACTTTACAGATCTCCTTTATGCACCAAGATCTTGTAACACTCCAAAGAGAAAGGAAAAATTTTAAATCACATCATATGACCCCTTTAAGAATATTTGCCACAGAATGTAAAGCTTTGGAAGCAGCTAACATGCAAACCAGCTGCCACACACTGCCACAGGTGCAATAGCAGGAAACACAATCTGACAACAAACAGCATGTTCCAGCACTAATATGCTGATTTGCTGCACAATAAACAATTCGTATTATCAATATTGAAAACAGTTGTGCTGCTTAATATTTTTGCTGAAACTGTGAAACTATTTTTCAGGATTCTTTGATAAATGGAAAGTTCAAAAAGAACAGCACTTTTGAAATATACATTTTTGTAACATTACAAATCTTACCATCTCCAAACTTTTGAATGGTTCTGTACTTTTCAACAATTATAAAGCACATCAACAAGTCATCATAGGTGGTAAAGGTTTGATCTTACTTCGGCCAAGATTGGTAGCTATGTGCTGGAGCTCATCTATCTGTTGGACAGCCTCTCGTCGTGTGAAGTGTAATACGAGTACCCAATAACCCGATGAGATGTCCTGCAGCCTTCGAGATGTAGAGAAAAGAGAAGTTCGGTGAGCCTACAAATGTCTACTTAAAAAGAGTTTTGGTTTTGAAAGGTTCTGGTGCAATTCGGCTAACCCATAAAGCAGAGCATGATCCAGGTGTTCACACAACCGCTGAAGAACCCGGTCGTGATTCCTGATGGCTGGCGTCTCATCCTCACAGGCGGCAAAGTAACTCTGCAACTGCGGATTAAATGTTAAAAAATATTAAAAAAAAAAAAACAAATCACTTGAATGTGAAAGAAAAAATGTCTGGTAAATTTCTGACATGCACACAGCCACGACATTCCAAGCAATCCTTTTCATTCTAGATGAACAACCTCTGATGAGAAATGCATTTTCAGAATTCACAGTTCTGTGATTCACTGATGAAAGCAGAGCTTCTTGGTGTATAAGTCCATCATAAAACCATGAGAACGTACTAATGCCAAGCACCTGAAAGGCTAAAATCTGAATGATTAAGTCAAACGATTTCAGGGTGTGCAAGCTGCTAATATTCAGAATAACACAGCAGCAAAAGACATACCAAGAAAGAAAGAAAGAAAGAACAAACATTCTAACGTTGCAAACAGCAAAGATTCAGTAAGTTACTGCAGAACAAAAATAGCATACTAAGACAGGATGTCCTGGGATGGCCCCATAAAATAAGTAGCAAGCTCTGTTTGCTCTATTAATAGGATCTCATTTGATAACAGGACTTGTTTACGGGTGCATCATGTCACTGTTTGACGTGTCCATGATGCAGTAAACGGTGTTTACTTGACTCATGCCTAAAATTACTTTTTCTTTTTTATATTATTTTACTGATAAACCGGTATTAATACGCTATAAGTGCACAATATAACCTAGAATAACTCAATATAGTGCACTGACAGCTCTCTGTCTAACCTGGTATTTATTAAATCTTGACTTATAAGGAAACACTGGATGTTATTTCTTAAGATGTCAAGGCGTTTGTCTTCAAAGCACAGCAGGAGGGGGGGGAGGCCCAGCTGTTTTGATATCGTAAACCGCAAAAACCTCAAACTATCCTTGGAATTATAAACTAGGGGGACAACTATTTTGATAGCGTAAACCACGAAAACCTCAAACTATCCTTCAAATTATGAACTAGAGAAGGTCTGTATTTATCCTCGCTGCATGTATAGAGGATTCTTACCTTCTTGACGGAGAGAGAGATGTTTTCGAGGATCCTGTCTTTGACTTTGAGTTGATCCATGTCTGGCTGCTCTCCCCGCGGACGTCAGCTGACGCGCGCTGTCGACTCGCGCTTGTGTTCACAGGCCACGAGCTGCTCAGTGATGACGTCAATTTGTAGGCCAACCCGCCACGGGTTTCTGCCATAAGCTCTGTGGTTAACATTACTCGAGGAGACTTTCAAGTTTTGTTCTACAACGTAAATTACACACAATCACACATCAAACATTATTTAAAAAAAAAAAAAAAAAAAAAAGTTGCTAGCAAGTCTAAGGACTACAACTGGTTGTCGGTTTAATTCTACGTCATTCGTCGAGCGCGTATTCTCACGTCTGTTTTGAACGAATCGAATGAAAAAAAATCAGTCTTCAAAGTTACTTATTGCGTTGATTAAAAAAATATATAAATATATATATATATATGAAATGACTATTTGAAATTAAATCTACATTTAACAGTTAGCCTCCAATAAATCTGTCTGTCCTAGACCTTTATCCAAGGCAGGACTATCTAGATTTTTGTTTTTCAGTCCTTGTCTGTAATAAAGCATGCACATAACAAAAAACTGAAGAAAATTGCTCTTGCAAATAACACGTGAAGGTGAACTTGAGGTACTAAATGTACACTGTATACAGTAGGAAAAAGGGTGCAAATGATGTACACTTCTGTTCAAAATGTTGGGGTCAGTAAGATAAAAGTAAAATATATATAAATAAATATATAATGTGTGACCCTGGTCCACAAAACCAGTCTTAAGTGTCAATTTTTCAAAATTGAAATTTATACATTATCTGAAAGCTGAATAAATAAACTTTCCATTGATATATGGTTTGTTAGGATAGGGCAATATTTGGCCGAGATACAACTATTTGAAAATCTGGAATCTAAGGGTGCAAAAAAATCTAAATATTGAGAAAATCGACTTTAAAGTTATCCAAATTAAGTTCTTAGCAATGCATAATACTAATCAAAAATTAAGTTTTGATATATTTACGGTAGGAAATTTACAAAATATCTTCATGGAATGTGCTCTTTACTTAATATCCTAATGATTTTTGGCATAAAATAAAAATCTATAATTTTGACCCATACAATGTATTTTTGGCTATTGCTACAAATATACCCCAGCGACTTAAGACTGGTTTTGTGGTCCAGGGTCACATATACAAATATATATATATATATACACATGTTACTGACCCAAAACGTTTGAACTGTAGTTTATATCAAAGTAATGTTTAAAATAATAATGCACTTCTCTGTGTGTGTGTTATATATGCACACATAGTAAAGTGTTGGCTCTATTGTCACACAGTCATACTATTTCTATCCCATGTATTCAGTAACTCAAAATGCACAAATAAAAAAATTATAAACTTTCCCATGTAGTTTACATTTGAGAGATGAGGTTCTCAATTGCATATAAACTATTCATAACTGCTAAGCCCATCATGAAATCTGATGCAATTGAAAAACAGAGGACAAAAGATTTAGTGTTGGAATGTTACAACTTTACTATCTTCAGGTGTATTAACCACATTGTGAGCATCCATTCATCTTTTTACAAATGGTCATTTTCAAAACAAGCTTTTCATTGCAAGAGCAAAAGCATCAGTGCATGTTGTATCATAAAACCAATTCAATTTGCCTTTTGTACAAATAAAACATGAAGTGTGCCCCAAATCACTTTAAATTAACAAATGGTAAACCAGAAAACAAAAACATATCTTTTGTTAGACTACCCAACCCCCCTTCAAAAACTGTACAAGTGTTGCTTTTAGTTATAATAGCACACCCTCCAACTCACCAAAACAAGCCCATACCAACAGATTTCAGATCTCTATTCATCATGACTGCCAGAGGTCCGAAGCCCATAACTATTTGAAAATCTGGAATCTAAGGGTGCAAAAAAATCTAAATATTGAGAAAATCGACTTTAAAGTTATCCAAATTAAGTTCTTAGCAATGCATAATACTAATCAAAAATTAAGTTTTGATATATTTACGGTAGGAAATGTACAAAATATCTTCATGGAATGTGCTCTTTACTTAATATCCTAATGATTTTTGGCATAAAATAAAAATCTATAATTTTGACCCATACAATGTATTTTTGGCTATTGCTACAAATATACCCCAGCGACTTAAGACTGGTTTTGTGGTCCAGGGTCACATATACAAATATATATATATATATACACATGTTACTGACCCAAAACGTTTGAACTGTAGTTTATATCAAAGTAATGTTTAAAATAATAATGCACTTCTCTGTGTGTGTGTTATATATGCACACATAGTAAAGTGTTGGCTCTATTGTCACACAGTCATACTATTTCTATCCCATGTATTCAGTAACTCAAAATGCACAAATAAAAAAATTATAAACTTTCCCATGTAGTTTACATTTGAGAGATGAGGTTCTCAATTGCATATAAACTATTCATAACTGCTAAGCCCATCATGAAATCTGATGCAATTGAAAAACAGAGGACAAAAGATTTAGTGTTGGAATGTTACAACTTTACTATCTTCAGGTGTATTAACCACATTGTGAGCATCCATTCATCTTTTTACAAATGGTCATTTTCAAAACAAGCTTTTCATTGCAAGAGCAAAAGCATCAGTGCATGTTGTATCATAAAACCAATTCAATTTGCCTTTTGTACAAATAAAACATGAAGTGTGCCCCAAATCACTTTAAATTAACAAATGGTAAACCAGAAAACAAAAACATATCTTTTGTTAGACTACCCAACCCCCCTTCAAAAACTGTACAAGTGTTGCTTTTAGTTGTAATAGCACACCCTCCAACTCACCAAAACAAGCCCATACCAACAGATTTCAGATCTCTATTCATCATGACTGCCAGAGGTCCGAAGCCCATCAGCTTTTTTTACATTATCTAGTACTCCTCTTCACTGATTCTCATTTTAATCAGACTTCTCTTTTTCTCTCATATGTAAAAAGACGACACTGAAAACAAAGAGTCCTGCCATCATAGAGAAGGCACTGGCATAATATGGAAAGGCAGAGGGGATGAAGCGCTCATACTGGGTATGCTGCAAGGGGCGGACAGAAACCTGTTGAATAACAAAAGAATCAGTAAATATCAAGGAAATGTGTGAGCAAGATTTACAATGAATTTTGAATTTCACCTGGGTTGAGGAGTACAGGCGTGTGTAGCCAAGTCTGTTGTAGTCAACTTTGAACTGAAAAACTCCATATACATCTGGAAGCTTGAACTGTACACTGTATTTTCCACCTAAACAACCAGCAGTCATGTTTTTAATGGCATACATCATTAACAAACACTACCATTCTAGAGTTGTTGTTTTTTTTTTTACTTTTTTAAAACTCACCAAGGCTGCATTTATTTGATAAAAAAATACAGCAAAACAATAACATTGTGAAATATTACAATTTACAATAACTTTTTATATTTGAATATATTCATAAAACATTATGTGATCAAAAATCTGAGTTTTCAGCAGCCATTACTCTTCAGTGTCCCAATATCCTTAAAAAATGTATCTCTTTCAAAAAAAAAAAAACATCTGTGACCCTAAACTTTTGAACAGTAATCAGCATGCATGAACTTATGCTGATTATAATAATAACATACCATTTTTCTTGAGGTAGGTTTTTTTTTTTTTACTTTTTTAAAACTCACCAAGGCTGCATTTATTTGATAAAAAAACACAGCAAAACAATAACATTGTGAAATATTACAATTTACAATAACTTTTTATATTTGAATATATTCATAAAACATTATGTGATCAAAAATCTGAGTTTTAAGCAGCCATTACTCTTCAGTGTCCCAATATCCTTAAAAAATGTATCTCTTTCAAAAAAAAAAAAACATCTGTGACCCTAAACTTTTGAACAGTAATCAGCATGCATCAACTTATGCTGATTATAATAATAACATACCATTTTTCTTGAGGTAGGTCCTAACAAATGGATCAATTCTGACAAACTCCAGCTGAATGTCCTCTCCATCAAAAGGCACCCACTTTCCACCAGTCAACATCTCAATCACAATGCTGTATTCCTGTAAGGACAATCCAAGCAGGAGCAGTAAGCCAAACTGCTTTGTTTCTTGGATCATATCATGCTTCTTTGAAAGTGAATGTTAAATGGCAAAAAAAAAACTAACCAAGACATTCTTCAGAATTTGCCTGCTTCTCGGTCACAAATCACGTGTTAACTGTTAAATGAACTATAATGCCTATATAAATAATATATGCCATTCCTTACCACAAGGTCAGTGATGGTGTAGGCAGCAGGGGGAGTGCTCTCTCCAACTGGATGATGGGTAACAGCCCCAACCCTAAGAACACCAGCCTCCTTAAACACCCAGCGGGACAGGGCCTCAGCCAGCTCCTGGTTACCAGTCTGTTCATACCTAAGAATATACACATCATGCATCAAACAACCTCTAAACAAATAGAGAATATATCTTTCATCAAGTCACAGTTAGTTTTGTTAACGGCCTGAACTTCACAGTTAATCAAACACAAAAGAATACACACGATTTCAACCTAATACCAAAATGTATTTTTAATATATAATAATATGAATATAGAGTAATGTAACATAACAGACCTCGTTGAACCAGGAGTGGCCTTCTGCACAGGGGAGTTGAAGAAAGCATCACTGAAGAAGTGCAGTGACCCGCTGAAAACCACACGTGCATTGTTTCTTGCCTGCAGACCGGCGATCAGGAGAGTGTTCTTTCCAACTGCATGAGGATACTGAAAAGCAAAAAAAGAGATCGAGTTGAATGCAAATGAATAACAAAAAAGAACATTGAAAGCTATGAAATATTTACCTGCGTGATGGGGCGATCAGGGAAGTAGGAGTAAGAGGTGGAGGATCCTGTGAGAATGTCCAGCACCAGAGAGTTATCTGGATCAGCCACCATGCTGAAAAAAAGAAATGCAACTCATAACTTGAACGGTTACATTTTCAGAATAAACATAGACCAGGGTATCAAGACCACTTACCCAACACCTTTGAACAGGACTGGTTTATCAGTGGGCTTGCCAACTATAGTTGGGGCTTTAAGAAGATTCTCTGGATCTGCAACAATCAGGGTGTGCTGTAAATAAAATAAAAAAATTAAAATGCATGACCAAGCTTCAAACAATGATTTGATCAATTTAAATTATGATGAACAAACAATATGTTTTAAAAACATAGGCTTTAGAATGTAAAACACAATATGGATTCAACATGAAATGGCAATTCAGGAGGTCAAGTTCATCTACTGTTATTTACATTACATTAAAGAGACAGTTCAGCTAAAAATTAGTCGTTCTTCTGTTGAACACAATGAAGATATTTTGAAGAATGTTAGTAACAAAATAATATTTTTATATATTCAATAATACTTTTTTCTATACTATGGAAGTCAATGGTTACCAAAATTCTTCAAAATATCTTCATTGTGTTCGACAGAAGAAACAAACTCAAGACAGGTTTGGAACAACAAGAAGGTGAGTAAATCATGACAAAAAAAATTAAGGATAACTGGCAACAAAATGAGTGCATTATCTAGTTCAAAAAGGGTGCGTGATCTTCAACAACAGCCTAAAACAATGGCTAAACAAGTGACTATTGGTTAATAAAGCCAAAGAGCCTAGGTGACATTTTAGAGGGAATGTAAATTATTATATTTCAGGACTTCAAAGACATCTTTCTAAACAATTAATTCATGGAAATTTTTCATTTTTAAAAGTATATTTGATCTCATGATTTTTAATACAGACAGATGGTCGAATTCTGTAATAATTTCATCCGCTTTTACAATAATCTACTTCTCTTGCACATAACAATCTGGAAAAAAAGGATTTGTTGATACTTGCATTACATTGCAACATTAAGTAAGTAAATACAGGATCAATTTTAATTTCATGTTGACTTTGAATGTTTAATCTTTCATATCAAAAATTGCTCTAAGCTGTATTTTTCCATCCATTACTGACCTCACCGGGATCAGAAGTGTCATAGTTAAGGTGGTCAATGACAGCAGTTTTCTCCTCATCAAATTCAATCCCACATTCACTGCCTAGCTCTCTCAGAGGGTCACCTGCCAAAGTCAAAGTGTTAAAAAGATTACTGATGTCAACAGACCAATACGTGTGCACTTATGCAAAACCAATACAGCACTCACCAATATCAGAGCTGGCAGCAACAAGAACATTTCCTCCACCGTCAATGAAGGCTGTAATGGTCTCTACATTGATGCTGCCCCCAAAATCTGTTCCATTGGAAACATGCAAACATGAAATGAAAATGAAATCATGAAATCTAGGTTCACTATAACAGGACTCACCTTCCACCGATGGAGAGAAAATGATGAGATGGTCGTAGAGGAACTGGCCGTACTTGATCAAAGAGAGACCAGGATCATCAGCAGTCTTGAAGGTAAGGTCAAACCCACGATCTGAGAACAAGAATGTAGTTGTGGGTTAAATACTTAAAAAGAAACGTGCAATACCTTTCATTGTCTGTACATGTATGTTGGTGCAATTATTCAACCAGATTCACATAGATTCAAAATGCATCTTCTACTCACATAGCATTTACGCGAACATGCTAAACGTATTTTCAGGTGCTAATGTAATATTTCGAAGGGTTTAAATAGGAAAATATCAGATAAGGTGTCGCTCACCTGCTAAACTGCGGAAGAAGATTGAATGAGTGTCTCTGATGTTGGGATTGTCCAGCAGAACGAGAGTCTTTCCGTCTCCTAAAACTACCTGCAACATTAATGCCACGGATAAAACAAGCAGAGCGCTTCTGCTGAATCCGCCAGACAGCGTGGGAACCATTGTAGCACGCCGTCTTTTGCAGGTTAATGTTGCAGGAGTCGCGGTGTCCCTCATTGACAAACAACCCATCGCCATTTTCCTCCTTTTGGACAACGTCAGCGCTAACGCGGACGTGACCTCTGACCCAGCCAGCAGCCAATCGCGTGCTGCCGCTTCTTCTTCTTCTTCTTCTTCTTCTTTGGAATTGTTTGGCGTATTCCGCACCATAGGCACATACCGCCACCAACTGTTTCTAATCATACATGGATGGTAGTCCCGCCTCTATTAATATTTTATTTATTTCTTTTTTAATTGTTAATTTTATTTCGGGCTCACCCAAGCTGTATTTCTGGCTGCTGCGTGTTCAGCTCCCATGCCAAAAAAACCCAGCTTGTGTGTTCCCTTATTCCTTTGCTTTATTTATTTATTTATTTAACTATCAAATCCGTTTATTTAATCCGTGTTTCTACTATATATTCCATTCATATTCTTTGATTAATACCTTCTCTTAATCCTTTTCCTAGTATTCAATTTATCTTCTTTTTTTCTTTATTATTACCATTTAAGTTCTTTATCATTTTAATTCTCTCTATATTATATTTCCGACATTTTAATATTACATGTTCAACGGTTTCTATTACCCCACAAAAAGCACATTTACCTGCAATATGTTTACCTGTTTTGTATAGTGATGCATTTAGTCCTGTGTGCCCAAATTGTAATCTATTTCAAATCACCTCATCTTTCCTACATCTTCCAAAATTGTATACTTCTTTAACTGATGAATTAATTTTATAATAAAACCTTCCTGTATCAGCTATGTCCCACTTCTTCTGCCACTCTTTTTGAATATTTGATTTTATAATTGATTTAATTTCTCCTCTTCCTAATGGGACTTCAATCTCGATATCTGGCTGCTGCGTGTTCAGCTCCCATGCCAAAAAAACCCAGCTTGTGTGTTCCCTTATTCCTTTGCTTTATTTATTTATTTATTTAACTATCAAATCCGTTTATTTAATCCGTGTTTCTACTATATATTCCATTCATATTCTTTGATTAATACCTTCTCTTAATCCTTTTCCTAGTATTCAATTTATCTTCTTTTTTTCTTTATTATTACCATTTAAGTTCTTTATCATTTTAATTCTCTCTATATTATATTTCCGACATTTTAATATTACATGTTCAACGGTTTCTATTACCCCACAAAAAGCACATTTACCTGCAATATGTTTACCTGTTTTGTATAGTGATGCATTTAGTCCTGTGTGCCCAAATTGTAATCTATTTCAAATCACCTCATCTTTCCTACAGACGAAATATTTACAGACCTGTGGTACTGCCATATGGAGAACCAAACCTGCAGAAATATATATATAAAAAAGTGAAATAATAAGTAAATAAAGTTTAAAAGAATAAAAATAAATGTAAAAATAAATACGGAAAATAATTAATAATGGAAAAAAGTCATTAAAAAAATTAATTCAGGATTAAATTGTATTACAAACGAATTATATTTGTTTTATCAAGTCATTTCTTTATTTCTTTATTTTCCTATTGTATTACATATATATATATTTATTTATCTATCTATTTATAAATTCTGCATACTCCATACAGACGGTTTTAGGACTCTCTCCATCAACTTTTATCGACCAGCAGGGGTCAGTGCAACACAACTATATGCTTTTCAGAGCGCAAGCCTCTCTGTGTGATAAATGAAGTCCAATACATTTTAACTGAATGTGAAGTTTATTATGTATTTGTTGGTTATGAAACCTATTAAACTTAATTGTAAAAGTATAAGAAGTATAATTGTATCTTATAATTGTATTGATCATAATATTTGTTTCCTAAAAATTGGTTTTATTTGAAATATGAAAAAAATAAGAGTAGCTAAATATGAATGATTATTAAAATCCATACCTGTTTTCTGTTCATTTACCCAATTTTTTGTCTTTGTTGTTATTTGTAAAGCTCCATGAGCTCCGATGATTCACAAACATTTGAAACTTGAATGTTTTGAAGCAGATATTTGGCCATAAATTAGCAAGAGACTTGAAACACCACATGAAAGTGCAGTGTGAAATGACTTCCACTGGAACTCCATTACTGAACATAAGACATTCAAAGCACCCATTCCTCTGATACCTGCTGTCCATGACAAACTGTGTTCAACAGAAAGCTTTGTTATCTGCTTCCAGTGCTGCTTCGAAACTGATTGGATTTTTAAAGCTGTCATCAATGTCTCAGTGCCTTGCTTTCCTGGCAAATATACAGACATTTATTCCAGTGACCAAAAAGAACTCAAAAATCAACCAACCAAAAGACAGTGGTTTATTAACAAACGATTAAATTGCAAACATCAGGTGATTTTGAGCATCAAGCACTGAATATGGCTTATGTCATATAAACTACAGCAGAATTGGACCAAAATGACCTGGAACACTCGCAATACTAGTTTAAATGAGAGTATCTGACAATGAAAGCTGTGATATTCAAAAACAGAAACTTGCTTGCAACATACATCACTCATTTAAAGGGGCAATGAGTTTTGATAGTCCATTTGCTAAAACACAGAGCATTTAAAATACGAATCAGAAATTGTGCATTTTAAACATGAGCCACTTACAACATTTATGGACAATTAAAAGCAGCATTTATTGTGAGTTTCTTCAGCTTCTGCGTGTTATGAAAATGATAAGCATACAGTTAAAATCAGCGGTTTTATGTTTTTTATGTTTATGTCAAGCAGTATTAAGCTCAAATAGAAAATGATTGAACTCTACAAACAAAAGAATCACTAAATCAATCAATAAACAAAAGTTCGGTACAGTAGCTGATTTGTTGAAAACTGAAACCTGTAGGACATAGTCATATGTTTAATTGGCTTCAGTAAACAGAGATTACATGATCTAGCACAGGGTATACAGGGAGACACTAGTATTAAAAGATCTGACAAACCGCAAACAAATTAGGTTTGTTTTGTTCATATTTAATTAAAAAATTTTCGTCATCTTTTCATCTAAATTTAACTCTATACAATGTAGTTTTAATATGCTGTACACACATTGTGCTGTGGTTTGAGATAAGACATCTATCTAGTATTTTCAAAATACGAGTGTGTTTTATTATAGAATATTAATTAGTAATAACCATCACTCTGGTGAGAAATATTACACTTTGTGACAGTCTAAACTCCATGTGGATCTCTCCATCCTTTGGACCGATTCAGGTCAGAAAGTCTTCACTGTCCTTGGCTTTCAGGCTCGACTTTTCCAGACCCTTCCTCAGTCTCTGCCTGTGTACTGGTCTCCTCCTCTGCCCCCTCAGTTTGAGATTCTGGCTGGGCTAGAGCTCCTTCTCCTTCCTCACCGTCTTCCTCCCGTGTCCGGAACAAGAGCTCGCCACCCTGGATGACCTGTTCGGTGGTTTGCCATGTGCCATCTCCTGCGTACTGCTGGTAAAAGTCAGAGTCTGCCTGAAACATGACCAGGGCCTGGGCAGTGTGAATGCGCACATGCTGGGCGAGGGAGCTGGCGTCCAGGAACTTCTCACCGCATGAGTCACATGCATACAAGATCTGGGTGTTGGGATCTGAAGGAATAGAGCAGCATACTTCAGCTTAAATATGATACAGTATGTTTTTTTTTTTTTTAATTGTTGTATAATTTATTTTTATCAAATTATTAGAATTTAATTAATGAGTAACAAAAATCAAATTCAGCTTTAAGGGGTATAATATATGAAATAAAAATCTTGCTTATATTTAGTATAATTTATATAATTAATTTATATATACAGTATTGGTCAGATGGAGTGGGTTTTTTTGGATTAATACTTTTATTCAGCAAGGATGCATTAAATTGATTAAACGAGACAGTAAAGTCACTTATAATGCTACAAAACATTTCAAAAGAACAGCTTTTATTTATATAATTAATTAATTAATTAATATACACTACTGGTCAGTATTTATTTTGCATTACTATATTATCATAACTTACAATACAAATAAATCAATACATTATAATATAGTATATAAACTATATATTACTCACCTGCTTCTTGTACTTTCTCCACTGCTTTGGTGATCTCTGCTTTAAGTGCCTCTGTTTCCTCTGCAGATACAGAGGTTGCCACTGGTACCACTACAGGGGTCAAAGACAACACATAATATCAGGAGACCATCCAACCGCCATTATGGTCACTTTTAGATTCAGCATATTCCCTTGGTATTGAGGAACAACCTTTCTACAAAATGTAAAGCCTCATCAGCTTTATCACCCTCCTCTCATATTCCCTCACCTCTGAGCTGTGCTACAGCACTGGCAGCTAGAGCCTCAGTGGCTAAAGTCACAATGTCATCTGTAGTGACCGTGACGATGTTGACCTCATTATTAAGCTCTGAGTCCGGTGTGGAATCAGGCAGCAGCTTCTCCTCTTCCTCGTCCTCCTCAGCCACCACCAGTCTCTTCATGCCCGCCTTCCCCTGGTGCACCGTCTTCACATGGGAACGTAGATTGTCCACACGGTTGAATCCTCGGCCACACTTGTCACACAGAAAAGGTTTCTCCCCTGTAAACAGGAAGTGATTAGAAGCACACAAGAGAAAAATACATAAGAAAAAGCTCAAAATGTTGCATCTTACCTGTGTGAATGATGATATGTTTGGAGAGATCTCCCACGTTGACAAACGCTTTGTTACAGGTGTGGCACTTGTGTGGTCGGATATTGTCATGATGACGGATGTGATTGGCCAGCTGGCTGGACTGGACAAACCTTCGAGGTGAGATAGATGAAACAAACTTTTAATATATGGCGCCATAATGAATCTAAACAAAATCATTCATGCAATTTCTTAACTACCTTTTTCCACAGCGGTCACACACATATGGTTTCTCCCCAGTGTGTTGGCGAGCATGAGCTATGAGCGAACTGGCCTGTGTGAAGCCTTTTCCACAAATCAAACACAGACAGGGCTTTTCTCCTAAAACAGTGAGACAGGCACATTGAAATACATTTGTACACATAACTATGGTTGAGGACGTGAGAAACGGCTCAGAACCTGTGTGGATGCGCACGTGTCTCTGCAAGGCCCCAGGGTCAGCAAATGCTCTCTGGCAGTGCATACAGATGAAAGGCTTCTCACCACTGTGCACACGCATGTGTCTCTTTAGGTTGCCTGCGAACAGACCATGAAGGCACATTAAAATTCCTTCACGCACATACATATATTGCCACACA